AACTCGGGGCCTGCGCCCTGTCCATTAGCTTTTTGCTCAAAGCTGGCACGCTACCACTTGAGCAACACCTCCACTTTGGGCTTTTCGCTAGTTCATTGGAGATTAGAGTCTCACAGACTTTCCAGTCTGAGCCAGCTCCGAACCTCCATCCTCAGATCTCAGCCTCCTGAGTAGTCAAGGGTGACAGTCATAAGCCACCGATGCCTGGCTCCCTTGATTTCTTTGCCATCTTTACCCAAAGTTGGCTTGTGCAAGGCGGAGCTTCTTGGTCACAGCTGACTGGGTAAGAACTGGGCCCCTGACATTGAAGCAGCCAATCCATTGGCTGGTAGGTAACCAATCAGATTTCACCCCCATCTGGAGCTTGTGAATGAAGCAATCAGACTTAGCAAGTCAGCCGGTGCAGGAGGTGGAGCTGGGGGTCGCTTTCAGCTCTGTGCGGGCTGGCGTGAGCCAGAAGACATCAGGTGGGGCGGAGGAGCAGGGAGGGTGGTGTGAGTGCGGGTTCTGTGAAGCTCTGCGGGATCACGTCCCTCCGGCTGGTCTGCACTGTCCCTGCCCTGTGTGTGTGCATGCATGCCAACACCGGGACTTGAACTCAGGGCCTGGCTGCCATCTTTGAGCTTTCTCACTCAAGGCTGGCGCTCTATCACTGGAGCTGCGGCTCCATTTCTGGCTCTTTGGTGGTTCACTGGTGATAAAGAATCTCCACGGGCTTTCCCGTTTCCAGCTGGCTTCAAACCTCGATCCTCGGCTCTCAGCCTCCCCAGTAGCCAGGACTGCAGGCGTGAGCCCTGGCGCCTGGCTCCACATTTCCCTTTCAGCCTCTTGACTTCCATCCTGAAGGCAAAGCAGAGCATCAGGCTGTATGCGGGAACTGGGCGGGCCTGGAGGCTTCTGTCTCCTTCCTTCCCTAGAATCCTGGGTGCAGCTGGCCGTTCTGTGTCTTGGGAAGATGGGGCGATGGGTCACACCAGATCCCATCTTCCCCCAGCAGCCCTAACGTCATCCATGGCTACGCAGGCCCGGACAGGCTCGCGGGTCCACCTCTTGTAGACGCCGTGCTGACCAGTGACCACGACTGGACACCCCCAAGTACGCACACCTTTTATCACCCAACACTCCAAATCCACGGGGCTCCAAGTCTGGTTCTGCAGGTGGAATTCCGCGGCGGAGCTGGGATTTGAACCCAGGTCTGCTCGACGCCCGTGCTTCCGTCTCTGCTGAGAACCTCTGGGAAGGTCACTGCACCTCTCAGCTCTCGACTGGGGAAGGATCTGCCGTTCCCACGAAGACACACGCATGCACACACGCACACACCACATGCCCTGGCCAGGCTCACTGGGAGCCGACACGGCCCTGCCTCTCTTGGGAAATGCTCCGCTCCCAGCGCTGCACACCCCTGCTTCTTCCCCAGCATCCATCTCCACCCTCATCCAGAGCCCCGGCTGGGAAGGTGCAGCTTCCTACAGCTCCTGAGCAGCCGGACGTCCTGGCTCCGCCACCACACCGGGTTGGAAGCAGAACGGTGCTGGACAGGGTGGGAGCTCAGGGCCTGCAAGGCTCCGGCCCTTCCTCTTCAGGGTCCAGGATCCCAGATCCTCACTCGGGTGCTGGGGAAGGAGGCATCCGCCATTCCTGTGAGCCTTCATTGGCTGGGAGTTGTTGGGCTGTGGCCTGCCCGGCCTGGCACCTCACTGTGTGAGTGTTTCCAGAGCTCAGGGGCGTGTGTGTGGGGGGGGGGGTGAGGGAGGGGTCTGCCCCAGGCTCCCCAGCCCCCAGCCTGACTCAAACCTGACCCATGACCCCGAGCACCTGCTTTCTTCTGTGCTGGCCTTCAGTCCTAACAATACAATGACTGATCTTTTTCTGGTTGTTTGGTGCCAGTCCTAGGACTTGAACTCAGGACTCGGGTGCTGTCCTTGAGCTTTTTTTTCTTTTTTTTTGGCTCAAGGTTGGTGCTCTGCCACCTGAGCCACAGCCCCTTCCAGGTTTTTGATGACTGGTTGCAGATTGAGCATCTCACAGACTCTCAAGCCCAAACTGGCTTTGAGCTGCGATCTTGGGATCTCTGTCTCCTGAGTAGCTGGGATTACAGGCGTGAGCTACCACGCCCGGATGATTGGATTCTTCTGTCCGTGTGCGTTTTCTTAGGAGCTACTTCTGCCCTAGCACCTGAGGCCCAGGAAGCTGCAGTGGCGTCCTCAGGGGCTGCCTCTGGGGGAGCGAGGACCTGCCTCCCGGGGGTCCCAAGCTGGGTGGAGGAGGGCTTGGGCTGAGGCCTTGTCAGACACCGCAGGGCCTGCGGGCGTCCTGAAGCCCCGTGACACGCCCGGCCTCTTGTTGCACAGGCCAGTTTCATGCCCAAGGGCTCTTCTCCCCTCTTTCCCCTCTGTGCGCCCCAAAATGGTGTCCTGCCTGGACCTGCCTCTAAGAAGCCTCCAAATAGGACCCTGGTCTTGTCTGCTTGTAGCTGGGCAGCCCTGAAGAAGCGATTGCCCTCTCTGATCCTTCCCTCAGCAAGTATGTAGCCGTGAATGGACGGGCCATCACCATTACTGAGTGCAGAGGGCTACGTACCAGGTACGGCACTTGCTAAGTACCAAGCACTGTGGCTAGCTAAGTATCAGGTACTATGGCCTACTAAGTACCAAGTACCGTGGCCAGCTAAGTACCAGGTACTGTGGCCTACTAAGTACCAAGTACCGTGGCTAGCTAAGTACCAGGTACTGTGGCCTACTAAGTACCAAGTACTGTGGCCTGCTAAGTACCAAGTACTGCATTGACCGAAGAACACGGCCTGTGCCCTCACTTGGTGACCCTCTGGCAGCCCAGGTGGAGATTTTACAGGTGGAGATGGAGTCTCCAAGGATGGCGACCGTCCCAGCTGGTGTGAGAGTGTGAATCTGAACTCAGAGCTGACCTTGGCATCGCCCCCAGCTGACCCAGCCTAGGGGACCCGTGAGATTCCTGGGTCCTCTGGAAAGTGGACGCCATTCCCTGGCAGGGAATAAAAAACATGGTCTTCCTCCAGACCCAGGGATAGCCTCGGCAGTGATCGAACCTCATCAGCCATAGCAGAGACTCCCAGAGTGCTTGAGAATGAATGAATGAATGAGGCAAGGGCTGCGTGCCAGCTCCATGCCACCCCAGCCCCGGTGCTGAGCACGCAGCTCTCCCAGTGCGTGCCGGCACAGCCAGTGGGGAGAAGTGGACCCGGGCTGGAGGGGCGATGTGGACGGGGCTCCTGGGCCGAGGGCCCAGGGGCAGCGCGGGGCTGGCCTGCGCCAAGCGGCCAGGAGGCCCTGCCTGGGCCTCCCTGCCCTCCCCGGCCAGAGCCCCAGCCCCATCCGCAGGCTTTGCTGGGGACCAGCCTGGCTCCTCCCTGGCACACAGGGACAGGCCGTGGCTGGGCGCTCCTGGCCAGCTGGTGAGCAAGACATGCTGGCTTTGCTGCGGCTTCATTAAAGATTAAGAGTCTCAAGGACTTCCTGTCCAGACTGGCTGTGAACCTCGCTCAGCAGATCTCAACCTCCTGAGTAGCTGGGGTTACAGGCGTGCGCTACTGGCCCTGGCTGAGCTTCTGTTTGGGGTAGGGGGAAGCCAGGCTAGAGCGCTGTTGTCCCAGCAGGGTGCAGCCTGGGCGATGTTGGGGAGCCGCCCTCTTCCCTCCCCCAAGCCCCATCCCCACACAATGAGATACTCGGGACCAGAATGAGAACAGTCACCCACACGTGTGCACAGCGCTTTACAAGGTTACAAAGTGTTTCACATACATCTCATCGGTTCCTCACAACAGCCCTGTGAGGTAGGCGGGGGGGGGGGGCGGGGGGCGGGCAGGGGGCGAGCTTCCCATGGTACAGATGGGGAGACTGAGGCCCCGGGGACCCGGCTCAAGTCCCACCGCAGAGCGCGTGTGCGCGGCAGAGCTAGGGCCGAGGCCGCGTCACAGGCCGGCCTCAGGCCCTTGGCTCTGTCCACTGACCGAGACGCCCCCCTGCGCCCCCCCTCCCCAAGGAAGACCCCAGCCCCGTCCAGTGTCTCAGCCACACACCCAAGCCGGCCCCCAAACCACCTCCCCAAAATAGAGCTGCCTGGCAGCCCAGGAGACAAGCCCCAGCCCCGTTGGGCAACTCTTGTCCTGGCCACCAAACCCTGGCAAAGAAGCCCGCCCAGAGCTGGGCCAGTAAGAGCCATCTAGCCGCTCCTGATGGCGCCTGGTGGGGTGGGCCTGTTTTCCTGAGTGATCCCTCCCCTCAAGGGAAGAGGAGAGGAGGAGGAGGAGGAGGAGGAGGAGGAGGAGGAGGAGGAGGCGGGGTGGGGGAAGGAGAAAGAGGAAAAGGAAGAAGAGGAAGGAGGAGAGGAGGAGTAGGGGGAGAAGAGGGAGGGGGAGGAAAGGGAGGAGGAGAAGGGAAGGGAGGAGGAGGGGGAGGAGGAGAGGGAGGAGGAGAGGGAGGAGGGAGGAGGGAGGAGGGAAGAACAAGAAACTGATTTGGAAGGAGGCCCTGGGATTGATCAGGGACGTCAAGAGTTTGCATTCCGTCTAACTATTGGAAAAGGTGTGGGATTTTTTTTTTTCCGGTTTTTCTTTTTCTTTTTTTTATTATTTCAAGTTTTCATAAAAATCCATCATGATTGAAACCCAAGTTACAGAGGAAGTTCGTCACTGTTTTTGTTTTTTTATTATTAATGGTTATTATTGAACTATGGGCTCTGCTGTGTTTTGCTCGGTCAGCTTTGGATCCCGGTCCTGTGGCGGGCGGCGGGCGGCGGGGACCCCAGGCAAAAACCTGGATTTCTGGGGTCCTTGGTTAGGAAGAGGGCTGGGGTGTGGAAGGGGGGGGGGAGGCGGGAAACAGTACGTGTGGAGGGTGAAGAAGTGGACAGGATCAGGGTGAGGTGCGGAAGGGGGGGTGGGGGGCGCAGGCACCGCCAGGTCCCCCTCCCCCGACACCCCTCCCCCCACGGCCCCGCGCGGGCACGCGCACGGCGGCCACGAGCCTCAGATCATCTTCATGTTGAACTTGCGGGGCGCGTCGGCCGAGGTGATGCCCGCGTCGGACTTGCGGGGCACGTACTCGATCTCGATGTTGTGCTTCGTGTTCCCCTTGCCCCGGCTCCAGAGGAAGAGCAGCACCAGGCAGAAGAGGACGACGCCCAGGAAGGAGATGAAGCCCATGGTGGTGGCGATGATGAGGGTCTTGATGTCGAAGGGGAAAGGCACGCTGGCACGGGTGCTGTTGGCGTCGCCGTCGCCGGGCTGGTTGGAGATGAAGGCGAACGTCTTGTTGGCCTGGTGCGGCCAGTCGGGCGCGTAGCTGCGCACGTGCAGGTGCGCGGGCATCGAGTCGTTGCCGCCCGCGTTGGCCGCGATGCACACGTACGTGCCGTTGTCCTGCACCTGCGCGTAGCGCACCTCCAGCGTCCCGTCGGGGAAGACCGTGAGCCGCCCGTTGCTCTTGGCCGACACCAGGTGCTTGCGGGGCGACATCCACAGGATGGCGGGCGGCGGGTCGCCGTCGGCGCGGCACACGAACTGCACGGTGTGGCCCTCGTCCACGAACACCTGCTGGGCCTTGCGGTCCCGGATGCGGGCGCGGCGGCAGGTGAAGTAGTTGGGCAGCAGCACGTCGGGGAAGTCCTTGAACTCCTTGCCCTGCACGAACTCGGGCGTGGCGCACGTGGGCTGCTGCCGGTTGAAGTTGAGTCTCCAGCGCCGTCGGAAGACCCACAGCAGCCGGCAGTCGCAGGCCAGCGGGTTGGCGTCGAGGATGAGGGTCTCCAGGTTGCCCACCGAGTGGAAGGCCGACTCCTCCAGCGTGGTCAGCTGGTTGCCGGACACGTTGAGCACGCGCAGGTGGTTGAGGCCACGGAAGGCGTAGGGCTCCACCACGGCCAGCTGGCCGCCCACCAGCTGGATCTCCTGCAGCCGCAGCAGCTCGTGCAGCATGGAGCCCTCGATGGCGCCGATGGGGTTGTAGGAGAGGTTCAGGAAGCGCAGGTAGACCAGATGGCGCACCGCCAGGTAGGGGACGGCGGTGAGGTTGCAGTGGGTGATGGCCAGGGACGTGAGGTTCAGGCCGTACAGGCAGTTGGGGGTCATGGTGTCCAGGTAGGGCCAGTGCGAGATCTCCAGGACCTTGAGGCGGTAGAGCCGCTTAAAGGAGTAATCGCGGATGGCGTTGATGTTGAGATGGCGGAGGCGGAGGACGATGAGGCCGTGCAGGTGGGACAGGGCCTCGGTGGGGATGGACGTGAGGTTGCATTTCTCCAGCGTGAGCTTCTCCAGGCTGTTGAGGCCGCTGAAGGCGCGGTGGGAGATGTAGACCAGGTCGTTGTCCCCGACCTCCAGGGAGCGGAGGTTGTACAGGTCCTGGAACATGTAGTCCAGCAGGATGACGATCTTGTTCTCGCTGATGTCCAGCCGCGTCAGGTTGCTGAGCCCCGTGAAGACGCCCAGCGGGATGAGCTTCAGGCGGTTGCTGCGCAGCCCCAGCGTCCGCAGGTTGAAGAGGTTGTTGAAGGCGCCGGGCTCCACGGCGCTCACGATGTTCTCGTTGAGCTCCAGCTCCTCCAGGTGCGGGAAGCCGGCGAACTCATCCTGGTTCAGGGTCTTGATGCGGTTCTTGCTCAGGTCCAGCAGCCGCGTCTCGGTGGGGATGCCTTCGGGCACGGCCACGAAGCGCTTGCGGTGGCACAGCACGGCGCGCTCCTGGGCCGAGCACTCGCAGCGCGGCGGGCAGCCCGTGGCCGAGCCCGACAGCACCGAGCCCAGCACCAGCAGCAGGATGGGCTGCCAGCAGGACAGGAGGGGGCTGGGCGCGCCCGTGCACCCCGCCGGCATCCTCACGCTCACCTGCAGCCGGGGGCAAGCACAGGGACGCCGTGAGAAAGCTGTGCGTGGATCGAGATCACGCCCGTATCCCCAGCCCCCCCAAATAACATCCCAGGGAGCAGAGTCCCCCCAAATAACACCCCAGGGTGCAGAATCCCCCCAAATAACACCCCAGGGTGCAGAATCCCCCCAAATAACACCCAGGGAGCAGAGTCATGGGGGACCCCCTCCCCATCCTTAACCTGTGAGATCTAGATGCCTGGGTCTGAGGGTTCCTGTCATCCTAGCTACTCAGGAGGCTGAGATCTGAGGATCGCGGTTCAAAGCCAGCCCAGGCAGGAAAGTCTGTGAGACTCTTATCTCCAACGCACCCCCAGAAGTGGTGCGAAGTGGCGCTGTGGCTCAAGTGGTAGAGCACTAGCCTTGAGCTGAAGAGCTGCGGGACAGCGCCCAGGCCCGGAGTTCAAGCCCCACGACTGACCAGAAAAAGAAAAAGGGACTCTCTGTGTCCTGGGATGGAAAGGCTGGGTGCAGGGATGAGCTAGGAGTGCCTCCTGGGCTTCAAAGGAGCTCAGGCCTGGGTTTCTGGGGAGTCCTAGCAGGAGCTGCCGTTCTGGAGGAGCTCCCCGAACTGGCCTGAGCCTCAGCTTCAGACCCTACTCCCCTCCCCGCCAACTCTGCTGCCCGGTCCCAGGCTGCCACCAAACCCAATGGCACAGGCCACTAGTCACAGATCGGCCACCCCGTGGAGCTCCCCACGGGGCTCGACCCGCCCCGGGCCTCACCCTGGGCGTTCCCGATCTCCCCACCTCCTTCTATCCGGGGCCTCAAGCCTGCAGCTCCTCCCTTCCCGGGCACCACGCCCACCAGGGTGTCCCCGGGGAGCTCCAGCCAGGCCCATCTGCCCCTTGGGGACCCGGATGCCAAGCTCCAGGGCAGCTGCTAGTGTAAAAGCAGAGCCCCTCCCCCCAGCGGGCTGAGGGTGGCTGGCAGGATGCATGGGCAGCCTGCGGGCACCTGTGCCATGCATAGCCCTGAGGCATCTGCTCCCAAAGCCACAGATGCCCCCACCCGAGCCCAGGGCAGGGAGGCCCGAGGCTGCCCAGCAGGTAGGGCGGGCTCCAGAGACGCTATGTTGTTTTTGGTTTGTTTTGTTTGATGTGCATTGCAATACTGGGACTTGAACTCAGGGCCTAGGTGCTGTCTCTTAGCCTTTTCTGCTCAAGGCTAGCACAGCACCGCTTCCAGCCCTTTCGCAGTCAATAAGAGATAAGAGTCTCACGAGCTGGGTGCCAGTGGCTCACGCCTGTCATCCCAGCTACACAGGAGGCTGAGATCTGAGGATCCTGGCTCAAAGCCAACCAGGGCAGGAAAGTCCCTGAGACTCTTATCTGCAATGAACCACCAGAAAACCAGAAGTGGAACTGTGGCTCAAAGTGGTAGAGTGCTCGCCTTGAGTGGGAAAAAACGAAGAAGAGAGTCTCATAGACTTTCTGGCTTCAAACCACGATCCTTAGGTCTCAGCCTCCTGTATGATGCTAGCAGTACAGACTTGAGCCATGCCGCCCAGCCGGCTGACACAACATTCCTTTGAATGCCCCTCAGCTCTCCAGGTCTGACAAGCCTCTCCTGGTCTGGTTGTAGATTGACTAAGTAACTGCTCTGGGTGTCACTGACACATTATGGAATCTGTCCAGACTTTATTGTCCCCAAGGGGACATTGTTCACCCCGCCCCCTCCCCCTCCTGATTCTCCCAGGCCTCGGCCTCTGCCCACCCTGTCCGGGCTGTTTTCCACAGTCACACACGCTCCAGTGACCCACCCGAAAAGCAAACATCCTGACAGGCGATCAATAAGTAATTGGGCCAGCGGCCGGGGCTGGCGGGGCGTGAAGCCGAGGACTCAGAGGTAAATAGGACTTTTAGCACCCGGCTCAGGGCTGGGCTGGCAATCCAGCTGCCAGGAGCGAGGATGAAGGACATAGCACCACTTTGGCACTGGGAGGAAAGAAAGAAAAAGCCAGGCGCCGGCAGCTCACGCCTGTCATCCCAGCTACTGAGGAGGCTGAGACCTGAGGATTGTGGTTCAAAGCCAGCCTGGGCAGAAAAGTCCCCCGGAGACTCTTCTCTCCAACGAACCACTCAAAAAAGCCAGCAGTGGCACTGTGGCTCAAGTGGTAGAGTGCTAGCCTTGGACACAAAGAAACTCAGGGACAGCACCCAACCCCTGAGTTCAAGCCCCAGGACTGGCAAAAAAAAGATAACATAAAGCTCATCTCCAATGAAGCATCAGAAAACCAGAAGTGGCACTGTGGCTCCAAGTAGAGTGTCACTTGAGCACATGAACTCAGGGACAGGGCCCAGGCCTGACCACTGGAAAAACAAAACACAAAAGACAACACTGGTCCCATGTCCCTTAGGATGCTGTGTGGATTCCATGGCTTATTATCATTATGACTATCATTTACTTATTTACTTTTTGCCAGTCCTGAGGCTTGAACTCAGGGCCTGGGCTCTGTCTCTGAGCTTCTTTTGCTCAAGGCTGGCACTGTACTACTTGAACCAGAGCGCCACTTCTGGCTTTTTCTGTGTATGTGGTACTGAAGCATCGAACCCAGGGCTTCATGCATCCTAGACAAGCACTCTACCACTAAACCACAGTCCCAGCCCTATATTATTATTATTATTTGTAGCCTGCCCTGCACATCTAATCTCTAAGCCACTGCCCTGTACAGAACTGCCCAGCCAACATTATAGTCTCCCACCCCAAAGCCACCTCCTGCATGAAGCCGTCCGCCACTTACTCAAGCAGACAACCACCTCTGCCTACAGAACCCAATCACTTTACTTTCCCCTATTAGTGACGCTGTGTACCGCTGTCTGCCGCACCTCATTCCAAGACTGACTTCAGCCAACTGACAGGGGAAAAAAAGCAAACAAACAAAAGGATAAAGAGCTACAAGCTAAAGAAGGAAAAATCCCGCCTAATGATCAAGTGCAGAGCCTCCCAGCGGCCCGAGGAAAAAGGGAAGCGTGCTCAGAAGCCTCAGCCTGTCATGTATTGTTTAGTCTTGGGACAGATACTCCTGAGAGTTTTTACTTCTTCCTTGTTGGCTTTTTTGTGTTTTTTTTCTTTTTCTTTTTGGGGGTACTGGGGTTCGGAAGTGAGGTTTTGTGCTTACCAGGCAGGTGCTCTACTGCTTGAGCCTTGCCCTTGGCCTGTTTTTCTTTTCTGCAATAGGCACAGTCTCAAGTTTTTGCCTGATGCTAGCCAGCCTCAGAGTGTGATCCTCCTACTTATGCCTCTGGGCTGGGGCAGGAATGAGTTTCTGCAGGTCTGGGGGCTGCCCGGAGATGGGGCCGGCCCGCTGATCAATGAGACCCGGGGAGACAGTGGCCATACAGCCAGGCCCTGTGCGGCCCCAGAGAACCGGGCTCCCCGAGATCCCGACACCCCTTCTCAACGGTGCCGGCCACTGTCCTGAAGGGAGGGGAAACTGAGGCCCAGAGCAGCGAGGATGCCTGTGCCACGGGAGTGTGACCTGCCCGGCCCGGTCTGGCCAGGGTGGCGGGGGGAGGACTCAGGAATTGTCACCCCTTGAGCCCCTGGGGAGCTCTCCTAAGGGCGAGGATTAAAAATGGCACCAACAAATACAGAGCACATAAGCATCAATGGCGGGCGGGTGGCAGGAGGGCAGCCGTGCCCAGCGCACAACACCCAGACCCTTGTGTCCTGCGCCCCTTCCCCAGCCCGTGACTGTCAACAGTGGTCTGGACGGGACCCCCCCCCCATCACAGAGGGGCGGGTCCCGGGTCCTGTGGCCCAGTGAATAGCGCAGAGCCTGCTCAGAGCCCAGTGGCCTCGCCGGCTCCCGTCTCCCTTCCTTCGGGGTGGGCTGTGGGGCTGGAGGGACGGCTCAGTTATTTCGGGTTCACAGCATCCATATTTCATGGTGCTCCCACGCAGTGCTCCTCGGGGACCGTGGATCCCAGCGCACATGGAGCCAGAGGCCGCGGCTCCGCAGAGCCAGGCCCACTGGGCACGGGGAGGCCCAGAGCCTTCCTCAGGGGACACTGGGCAGGGGAGGAGGGGGAGGAGAGAAAGGAAGGAGGGCAGAGCAGCGGGCGGTGGGGGGAAGATCATTTCTGCAAAGGAAAGGCAGGTGGGCACGGTGCCACCAGAGCACCGGGGACTCAAAAGACCCTCCCAGCCCCATACCTGGACCCCATCCTGGCCTTCACCATCCTGGACCTCACTGTCCTGGCCTCCACCTTCCAGGCCTCCGAGGGTGTCCTGCTCAATCCCAGAGGCACGAATGGCTGAGAATGGTGTGGAGGCCTGTAGGCTGCCTGGCACTGGGGGGGGGGGGGGTGAAGGGAGGGCTACTGGGGGGGTGGGGGGGAGGGGTGGGCCCACGCACAGCTCCTACAGCACAAATCCTGGCAGATGGGTGGGGCCGGGTGGGCCGGGGCTGGGGCAGTGGCAGCCTGGGTGCCTCCCTGCTGGCTGGCGGCCACTTTCCCCTCCGTTTCCCTCCCCTCCTCTCCTTTGCTCCTCTTACGGGGAGAGAAATCTCAACCTGGAAGAAAATTGAGGTCATGTCCTTTGTCGTAGATAACTCTTTATTTTCCTCTTGTTCTTGCTCCTGGCAAAGGGCTGCTGAGCTCCCAGTGTGTGTGTGTGTGTGTGTGTGTGTGTGCGTGCATGCGCATACACATGCATGTATATGTAAGCATATGTGTGAGACAGCACTTGCATCTGTGTCTACATGTATGTCTGTGTGCGCCTGTGTCATCTAAGTGTGTGTGCGCCTGTGCATGTGCACAGTGCACACGCACGCCCCTCCCAGCCCCTCCCCCTGCCCTGGCACAAGGCCCAGCCCTGTCTCAGGGCCTGGGCTTCTGCCTTCCAGAGGGGACCACCGGCCCGTGTGGCTGCCGCCTGCTTGCCTTCTAGGGCAGCATGCAGCACCCCAGATTCCCCGGAAGCACCCAGCCCCGATGCTCAGGGAGAGACGCTCTGCC